GTTTAAATGGTTGTGAATGACTATGATATTGCAAATCATTTAATTCCGGAGGGAATTTATGTGATTTTGAAGCTAAAAAAAGATGGGGAGAAAACATATAATGCAGGTTATTCTTAAAATGTTTATTGCTAATTTGATTACCTCTGATAATAGGAACATTTTTGGAGTCTTATCAGACCTCAAAGATGATTGGCACATATACTAGCTAGAAAAATAAAGAGTTGGAAAGCACCAAGTCAGGATGTTGCAGTTCAAGTGTCAAATGGGCCCTTAAAAGACAGTTCCAAAGCCAATCTGGAGAATACATAGGGTTTTTATTCATGGAAACCATAAGGGGGTCACACAGGGCCACCTACTATGGTTGGCTCGGTCTAAAGACCTCCTATTGCTGTGCCATGCAGCCAAATTTCAAAAAATATCAATTTTGTAATTCATTCAAAATTTTCAAAAAGAGGACTTCATGTGATTTTAGTTTAAAAAACTATTTCTTACTGCCAAATTTAGATAAGATATTCAAGATCTAGTCTAAATTTAGTAATGATTTTTCCTAAATTTAGAAATGATCATAGTGGACAAATTCCCCACGAGCATAGTAAAGTTAGGGTTTGTATTCATGAATATCATAAGGGGGTCACACATGATCACACACTATTAAAATCAAGTGATCAACTCATGTTTTTAAGGGATTTTTTGCTGTTTTAATAGTGTGTAACCACCTTAATGATATTCATGATATTCATGAATAAAAACCCTAAGTACATGTTTTAAAAAAGAATAGAACTCTACAACAAATAAAGTTGAGAAAATCTCTCTATTACATTAAAACTAAAGACATATTCTATCAACTAATAGAGCTATTTTTTTAAAAGGTAGGACAGGAAGTGACTTCTATACTTTTAAAATTTGCCCAAAATTTAGGAGGTCTTTAGACCAAGCAAACTATATTAAAATTAAATGATCAACAAGCTGTTTAATAATGTGTACAAGTTGCAGATTTTCATTGCTTCAATAGACCTGGATGTTTATATGCAATCTTAACATTACAACTCTCCAACAGAGTTACAAATTGTTGGTTGCAGAACCAGCCATCTTTACCCTAGGAGTAGGATCATTCAGGAAACTTTTCAGCTAACACATATCCATATTATGCCAGCTCAGGTGCTACAAGGGTAGACCAGGTAGAATTTACAAAAGTGTGTCCTTGATAACAATACCATTGTCAATAAATTCCAGGGTCATGCAATTCCCCTGGAAGTTAATTGTAATGTTGTATCATTGGGGATGCAGGTCAGATTAGCCTTGTGTATATGAGGAATGTGTGAGAATGACTGTATAGTGTTCAAGGTAACATATGTGTTTTGACATCCGTAAAGTTTCCAATAATCAAACATTACATGTTGAATTGTTTTCTCTTTAACATTCAGTTATGCTGCCTTGACATTTTCTTATAATTGTTTATTAAGTATTAGTATTAATAATAATTATATGAAAAACAAAAACAAAACCAATCATCTATTTTATAAAGTGCTCTTGCATACATTCTTATTGTTAAAAACTTTTTTTTTTGATTCATAAAATGATCATCTGTTATCAATTACAAAAAATGAATTTATAAAAAATTTTATTTTATTTTAAAATTGTTCCTATCTTGAATAAATAATAAATGATGCCACCTACCTACATATTACATTATATTATTACCACTGCTACCCATTTTATTATTTCTATTCAGATGGTTTCATAAATCCTATAGATGATGGAATCCTAAATTCATTGTTATCAACTTTTGTTAATTTTTTAGGAAAAGAAACATCTTCATCATCATTGTCACTATCAATATTAATGATTTCTTTTTGCTTCTGTTTCTGTTGTTGTTTATTCAATTTTTTATTATTTTTTGATTGATCTTTAGTTTGTGAATATTTGCGTTTATTATTATTATTATTATTGCTATTAATATTACTATTGCTATTAGTATTATTACTGAATTGTGCCAGAAAATCTTCTGCTCGATCTATTGATGTTTGAAATTTAGATGATGGTTCCTAAAAATAATCACAATTTAGATGTAATTCAATGGTTTACAAGTAAAATATAAATTGGTTTTACTTACTTTTGCAGTTAATTTATCAAGTCCAAAAGACATTCGTCCTTTTCTCTCCATATTATTACATAATAAATAACTTGGTAAATATTCTATGTCATATTTACTATATCAATAAAATAAATATTATATTTTTTATTTATATTTTTTCTACTTGGAAAAATTAAAGCATAAAACTTACGGCTCCCTAACATCCAATTCATCATATAATGCTGTCCACTGTGATTCTCCAATTGCTTTGTTTCGCTCTCTTTCAACCTTTTCACGTAATGCCTTTTCTTGTTGTCTTTGCATAAACTGTTAATTCGGTTTCAAGTTGTTAATATGTAAAACATTATTATATTAACAGTTTTTGAAAATAAAATTTTTTTACCCTAAGTTCTAAAACTTTTTCAGACAACTGTAGCTTCTTGTTGTTATTATCAATATTAATTCTATTAATTCCACTCATTCTTATTATTTATTACTCGAGTTATTTTATTTTTTGTAACTGGCATTAATTGGGTCTTCATAAGTGTCACATAAATAAAATGTGATATATTACCAGAGTCGATCACACTGCATCCTCAAAATAATATGAAATTTTCTTGTAAACATTATGAAAAGTAGTAGGAGCTTTAATATTAAGAAAGTTTATTGAAATGACGTCAGGCTTGTTACAGATAAAGGAATAATCCTTGAAGATGGAAGAAGTATCTAATGTTAATGATAATGAGACAGATATAAAATTTCCTTGTCAACAACATTTTGGATGAAATAGATGTTTCAGGAGAGAAAGTTTATTGAAATAATAAATTTAAATTCCTCTAAAACTGACCAACAAGAAAATCAAAAGGTTCAAATCCATTTCACAAACTAATGAATGAATAAATGATAAATTTTATATTAAAATTTACGTCTTCATCACGAACTGCGTCTTGATTCACAACTACATTTTATTTGAGTCACTAATTGCGTCTTGCTAATTAGTCTCGCTTCATGAATGCGTCTTGCATCGCGAATTGAGTCATGTGTTACTAATTACGTCTTGAGTCACTAATTACGTCTTGCAATGTCAATTTTATTGATTTTTAATTGCGTCATGATAATTTTGACCATATGTATAGTAACAACCATCATGTCTCTTGCTTTCCAAAATCACAATCATTTATCCTGCCAGTTATGTTAAATGGTACAGCTGATATAGGACATACTCATAGAGGTGATGGCAATATGGGGGAACATGATAGAAGATATTGCACTGTTGGAACGACTAATGAATACTGATTCTCATAAACTTGTGTGTGATGTTTCCAACAGACTAAGGTTGCATGATCCCATAAAATTATCAATGGCAAGATAACTAGTGTCAAAGTACATGGTGCTGTTAAGTGTATCAACAATCATGTATTTCATTTAAATGCGGCCACACTAAATAATAAAGCATCGGGATCTTCATTCAGGAACTGCATCAAAATTGCTCTCAACTTCTCATTCCACTTTATCACCCTTCTCAAGAACCCATACACTTACCCTACACAAACCATTGACACCAGTCATATATACTGGACAACACTTCTTCAACACACTCTCAATATCGAAAAGATCAAATGGGAGTCTCTCCTAGTCAGGGAGATTTAACAAAGTGGTTGGTGATTAATTTTGCCATTTGAATATAATTGTATTGTTTTAGATATTGAAGGAACTACTAACCCGATTTCTTTTGTTCACGGCATACTGGTAATTTATAATTAATTTAATGGATAGGCAAAATATCAGCGTTTAAAAGCAAATATATAAAAGTTTTCATATGTCACAAAAGTTTTTACATACGAAAACAAAAAAAATTTTGAATTATTAATGCATATATAGATATGTTAACTTTTGTTATGAGTTTTTTTAATTTATGTACACTTCGGATTTATGATATATATCAGGCAGAACAAGATTACATAGAAGGAATATCTGAACCAAAAAAAGTATTCCTGAAGAAAATGAAAAGTATTTTTTTATTTTATATAATGATGATAATGTAAGGTTTTTAGAAAAATATATAAATAATCTTTTGAATAGAAATACTGACGAGGTAATAAACCTGTAATTCATAATATCGAATGGCAAATGAAAGCTGATAGGAAAATTGGACCCTTGAAATCATTTTAAGGTTATATGTGAAAATTTGGTTATGACTCAGGTGAATTAAAGAGTTTGTAAGTTTGCATTTATCAAATAAATAAATGTCATTACTTTGTAAATTGATGCTTAAAAATATGTGTTTTATTACTAGAATTTATGGTGATGTCTTGGTTGAATTAAACAAACGGAAAGAAGCTGGTATAAAAATTTATATTTATTCTTCCGAAAGTATGGCTGCATAAAAACTACTTTTTGGTTATTCAAATAAAGGCAATTTATTAGAGGTATTTTTTTTAGAAAAATTTTTATTGATAATATTAATTCAGTTTATTATATATATAGCATTTTAATGGACATTATGACGCTTCTAATTGGTTCTAAACTTTAGGAATCAGGTTACATTAAGATTTACAGAGACTTGAATCAGTGCCATCCAAAATCTTATTTCTTAGCAGTAGTGTCAAAGGTATTTAAAATCTTGGTCAAACAATAATAATTATTGATATTGTTGTTAAATTTGATGTTAATTTTATATCATTCATTATAAATTAGTGCTGCAAAAAAAAGCAGGTGCAATTATATAATCCACCTTTATCAGAACATGATCTCAGAAAATTTGACTGTGAATGACTTTTTAAAGATACTGAAATATTCAAATTTTAAATAAGATAAACAAAGTTTTATAAAATAATGAGTGGGTTTACTATAACACAATACAAGAATAAATTAAAATATACATACATCAGTATTTTGCTACAAAAATAAATATGTTTATTTCTTTTTAATTTGGAAAAAATTTGTAAGGATTCATTATTCCATTTGGATCAATGCTAGATTTTAGTTTTTTCATCATATCAATCATTGGTTTAGATTTTGAATAACCAATATGATTTGCTTTCATAAAACCAAGTCCGTGTTCTTTAAAATATATATGTGAATATATGAATATAAAAACTATATATATGAATTCAGAAATAATTATTATCATACCTGCTGAAATAGATCCCTTGTGTTTTTCTGACAAAAAAAATAAAAATAAGTTATAATTACCATCATAACCATCATAATATTAGAAATTGAAAAAATGTAAAATACCTGTCCATTTGTAAACATATGGTTCAATAAGATTGGTAATTTGAGAATCATAAGAATTTGCAGTAATATTCAAATGTAAATTACCTGATTTAATAATAACAATAAAATTTATTATTTTATATTATTATAACATCAAATGAATTAAAAAAATTTGCACTAACATACCATCGCCTATATGACCATAACCAATCACATTAGTTACTGGCTTGTCATCACCAAAAACACCAGCTTGTGACAATCGTTCTCTTACATCTTCTACCATCTGATAAAGAACTGGAACTGGCATTGACATATCATATTTATAAACGGCACCTGATTTACTACATGCTTCTGGAATAATTTCTCTAAATGTCCAAAAATTTTTGATTTGAGTGTCATCTTGTGCAACAACACCATTTTCTACAATTTCTTGTGATAACAAAGTTTCCAAGTAATTCTGAAGTTTCTAAAATTTATAAAAAATTAATAAATCTATTTAAAAATTAAAAATCAAAATGGTAAATAGGTATATCTATATATATAGACTTACTTCTTCATCATGATCCTTATTTGATCCACTAATTTCTACTAATACATAAAAGGGATATTTATTTTCTAATGGGAATCTTGTTCCTTGAATGTGAATTGATTCAACCAATTTAAGAGCAGAAAAATCCCAGAATTCAAAAGCTAAAATTCAAAAAAATTATTTTTTTAAGTTTTTGTTTAAAGTTCAATAGATTATTATTTTAATCAATATGCACCATATAAATATATAACATACCAGAAAGAATTTCTGATAACTCTTGTTTTGATTTAATAAATGCCTTTTGAACATTTTCAAATGAATTCAATCCGAATATTGCAACATTAACAGCCTATATTTAATTAATTAAAAAAAAATAAATGAATATTTAAAAGAAAATCCAAGAGTGTAAAATACCAATAAATGCTGCCTACTTTAGGACGCTGAGGTGTTAAGATAGACACACCAGTAATTATTCCAAGAGTACCTTCTGACCCAATAAAGATTTGTTTTAGATCATAACCTTATAAAATTTTAACAAATATAAATGAATTATTTGATATTTTGATAAATAATATTTATGAATATATAAGAAAAAAGAAAGTTTACCAGTATTGTCTTTACGAAGAGTAGAAAGGTTATCTAAAATTGTCCCATCTGGAAGTACCTAATTGTCAAGGAAATTTTCTTTTTTGAATTAAAAAAGCTAAATTATAAAATATAAACAAAATATAAACTTATTTTAACATGTACAATTTCTAATCCTAGTACACTGCCATGCAAAGATCCATATCGTAAAAGTCTTAATCCACCAGCATTTGTTGCAACATTACCACCAATATGACAACTTCCTTTTGCACCCAAATCTAATGGCATCATAAAACCTTGTTCAGCCAAATAATTATCAAGGACCTCTAGGATACAGCCAGAATCACATGTAAGAACCCCTTTATGACAACAATAATATATGAACAAGAGTAATTTTAGAGTCAGAATTAAATGACAATAATAATGTTAATTTTAATGCTTACCAGAAATAGAATCAAAACTTTTTATTTGATTTAGATTACTAGTATTTATAATAATTTCATCAAAAACTGGAACACCACCACCTAATCATAACAAATACAGCATTTTATCATATCATTTTTTTGTAATATTTATTATATAATTCCAAGATGTAAAAAATCTTTACCAACAAGTCCTGTGTTACCGCCTTGAGGTACAACAGCCAACTTTTTTTCATTACAATATTTTAACAATTGGGAAACTTGTTGTGTTGTTTTAGGTTTAGCCACTAAACAAGACTTTCCTCTATATTTTTTCATCCAATCTAAGTTATAAGGTGCTAGATCATCAGAATTATTTCCATTATCAATGATTAGACTATTAGAAGGTAATATTGACTTGAAAAACAAAATATCCTCTGAAGAAAGCTATATATCATTAACAATAATGATGATGATGAGTTTTTTAAAATAAAAAATAAAATAAAATTTAGTTTTATCATAAAATATTTTATTTATTCTACTTGGTTAAAATTTGGATTTCTTTGTAAAGTTGGATATTTATCAGTTGTGAATGCAACTTCTTTACTTGGAACTTTCTTTAAAGGGGGGATTTCCACATTAGCTGTAGCTTCAGTTGCATAATTTTTGGAAATTAGAAAGCAATTATTATTATTATTAAAATTATTATTATTGAACAACAACTTATTTGATAAAAAAACTTTTACAGATTCTTTTTTTAAAAAAAAATTCTTATTGAATATAATATTATTATTAATAAGAGAAGGCTTAAAAATTTGAAAATAATTCATTTTTTTCTTTAGATTTTTGCCGATCAAACTACTCGCAATTACCAATTCATTGTTATCTATCTACTACTACTACTACAGTGTTGGAAAAATGATCGGCAAAACCAAAGGCTAGTCTACAAAAAATACTCGTGTTGTCACACAATGTAATTGATTGATTTTGCCCGAAACTATATAGATAGATCAGTAACAGTTTGATACAAAGTTTGACATTCTATTATTATAGCTCATAACTAGTCGAGTTTAATTTAATTAAAACATTTGAAATCATGATAGATATTGAAGCATTGTCTTTTCATTTTTAATTTTTGGCCTCTTAGTAATAGTATGAATTTGACTAGTTGCAGAAGTAGTTTGTCTATGGAACTTTGGGGATTTTGTGACAAAGGTTGGGTTAAAAGGATTATCTTATTAATATTAACAAATTGAAATTGGGAAACCACCCACAAATTTCTTGGGCGTTGGTGCAATTTTTTTATTAGTATTATGAAAAAATTTTAATTCGTGTATTAGTGGTAGTAAGTAGTTTAATATTAGTTATATTCACTTTTGATGTGGCATTAGATTGGTTGACTACGACAGTATCATTATTTGACTTTATTTTTATAAAAATTATACGTCCAAAATAACTTTATTTTTCTTTTAAAAATTAAATAAACACAAAAAATGTCGATTAATTTATGACAGAATTACTGTCGAGAACATCCATAAATTTCAAAGCATGGCAGAACCAGTAACTTCAATGGAATCGGTTGTTGAAGGAAATCAACTGATTATTTATCAAAGTTTTTAGGCAAATGTGGTGGCAGTAGCAGATACTAGACTTGACACTGAAGTAAGTATAAAATTAGGAATTCAAGTTGTTCGGATAAATCTTTAACGTAGACTGCGTGAATAACTTCAAAAGAATTCCTATCTAGGACTTCCTCATTCAATGTCATGACATGACTAGATAAAGTTGATTACTCATTCTGGTGGTTTATTAGAAGAATTAGATAAATTGGTAAATACATATGGGCACGAGAGTAAAATAATGGCACAGTATTTCAGAAATGCGTAAGATAATTGAGGAGAATCTAGTCTATGCAAAATTTGTCAAGGTAATTGGATTTTGTCTGTATGCACAATCCACCTGAAGATTTAGACAAGTAAATGAGACAGCAGGAGTATCAATGGATTCAGAAATTTTAAAGATGATTTATTTTCTCAACTTTGTAATCAAATTATAAATTTGTCTGAATATCGTAGTCAACTTTAAGTTATTAGTGCAAAATTAATACCGCATGCTGGAGTTTTTATAAAATTACCTGCAAAATGTTGTTGGGAGCAGTAAAAGAAGAAAAAAGCTACGCCAAAATATCCAGATTGAAACCTTCCATGCCTGCTCGTGCTGAGGCCATGATGCTGAATTGGGAAATAAGTATTATTGAAAAAAAAATATTTAATGTTTTGGAAAAAATTAAGGATAATTCATCATCATCAAAATCATACTTGTAAACATTTGCGAAAAAATTGTAAAATGCAAGGCCTAATTCCTATCACTACTTCTTACAATCCTTCTTCTGATATCATAAAAGACAAATTAAACTTCACCATCAAGCGAAATGGCTAAAATAATTTGCATCATCAAGTAAAACGATAAAAACGAGTCTTCTGAAACAGATGGAACTGAATCTTCCTCATTAAGCAAAAAGATTAAGACAGAACCTTTATCTATAAATATAAATAAAATTAGTGGTCAGAATTTATGAATCCAATAGCACTTTATGAAGAGACTGAACAATCCGAAGAACCGGAAAAGTGGTCCGGAAAGAATCTAAAGTATTGGCTTCGTTATCAGCTTCATGCAATGAGAAATGGTTCTATAATCAGTATATTTATTAGAAGAGTTAATAATCAATGTTTATTTATTTATAAAATATTTACAATATTGTTAAATGAAATAAATGTACAAGAATGTTGGATCAACTAATGTAAGTATGCCAGATTCTCTTCAAATTGACAAGATCGTTTTTAATGGTTTTCGTAATGGAATAAAAACCACACTACCTTCATCTTCGTGTGTGGAGATCATTAATACATATATTATTGAGGAAACAGATCTTACAGATGTTGAAAACCAAATAAAAATGATAAAAATGATAAAAAGAACAAGATAAGATAAAATCTAAAACTGACGAACCTTCAAACCTAAACCATTGAGCAAAAAAAGGGCAGAGAAATCTAAAACCGATAAGAATATGTCTAGCGATGATGGCCGAAACTATTTTTGAAAAAAGGTAGTTTCGCCCAATACTATGGTAGCCCAATGTTTTTATAATAATAAGTATTTAAATCAATCTATAAAAAACTTCGCCCATTTCAGCTATTATTAAAGTTAGTTTCGCCCAAGTTTAGGCCAATTAATTTCAGCAATTTCGCCCACCAAGTAAGGTAGTTTCGGCCACTGTCACTAAATCTGCCAAATCCAAACTATCAAGTTAAAACTGATTATCAAAAGAACCTGTCAAACTTAATCATCTGTAAAAAGTATTAATCTGATAAAGTGAAGACTGAGAAGGAAAGATTTACAATAATTTAAACATTTGAGGCGCGAAAGAACCAATTCAACTTTTATATGCTTTTACGACTAAATTTTCCACTGTTTTGGATGAAATCATACATGGTAGGTACATATATCAAAAAAAGATAGCTTAATCTCGTTGTATTGATGAAAAATAAAGTTAGGCAAAACATCACATGAAGCACAGATTAAAAAATGGTATTGTTGATTTGAGAATAATATTTACTTGTACATATTGAAAAAGGCAATAATTGATCAAGCAATAACGGATTATCCAGTTATCAATAGGCTTCACGTGACAACATATATATTTTTGGTAATTCACTTTGAATTAATAATTATAACAAAAAATAAATTATACATGTAGATATTAATTTATAAATATTATTATTGTTATTATTTTGATTTTTAATTCTATGATTAATTCCTTATCATAATAAAATATAAAAATTAACCTATTTGTATGGGGAGAGAAAGAAAAAAAATATTAGTTAATATTTAGAAAATAATAATAACAATAACAATTATAATATATTTACGGTAAGATTTTTGGTATCTAAAAAAAAATTAAAAGATATTATAAATTAATATAAAAATAATATAGATATACATGTGTATGTGTGTGATGATTTAGAAATCATCATAAAACATAATACAAACCTTGCACGAGCACCAACACCACCAAACTTTTTAGGTTCACAACGACGAGGATCAGATACCAACAAGCTCCTATCATACTGAATCAAAGTATTTTTGATCTCTTTTTTTTGAGCCTCATCAACATATTTTTGATAATAGGCTACAATAGATTTTGCAATAGCTTGACGAATTGCATAGATCTGTGAGGTATGACCACCACCTTTTACACGTACTCTGATATCAACTTTAGCAAATTTATCTTGACCTAGGATTAGAATTGGTTCATAGACTTTGAATCTCAAAATTTCTGGTTCAACTAAATGTAATGGCGATCCATTGATCTTGATTAAACCTTTGCCAGCTTTACAATGTGCCACTGCAGTTGCAGTTCTCTAAAAATAAATGAAATGATGACGGCAATTAAGGTTATAAAGGATGAATTAGAAGTTTTATAATTTAATAAATTTTAATCAAATTATTCTTTTTTTTTACCAAAAAAATTGAAATTATTATATTAATTATTATTACAAACCTTACGACCATATGTTTGAACAGCCTGTACTTGTGCCATTTTTTCAAAAAAAAACCCAAATTAGAGAGATCTAGGAATGAATGTTTAGAACAATAAAGGATTAAACAATTAATAGAATAAACTGAACGAGATCAACGAAAAAAAAATTTTTTTTATAGATGTCACATCTTTATCAAGTATTTATCACATATCCAATTAAAATTCATGATAATCAAACTTTTGTGAAACAAATGGGGGAAATTTTACATCATGGATGACAGTGAGAATGTGGAGGGTGCATTCATATGAACAATTCTAAACATGGAAGGCTTGGTTCAACCAATGTATCTACCCTGTGCTGCTGGAACCATTAGATTGCTTACATGTAAGAGAGCAAAAAAGATTGTGGAAGAGAAATGAGCAAAAGGTAGGAAAAAAGATTTAATAACATGAAAAACTTCCAATTGGCATTTGAAGGCATGGAAAGTTGTTGACAATGTGCCCTATTCTGAATTATGACAGTAGATTGTTCATCCAGCTTGATAAATGATGATGATGGTGATAATTCATTAGTTATAAATGAACCATTCATTTTTTTTTAACAGTATATGTTGTTGATATGATAAATTTGATGCAATTGTTTCATCTCATTGTCATCATTAATGCTCAATGATTGAAAAATAAAATGATTCTCTAATGAAGTTCTGGTGACTGTTTTTGGTGAGTGTTGTAGCCTGTTATTAAAAACTTGACATATTGGACATGGTCTCACATTATTAGCAGATGTAGGTGTTTGGCTCCCTTGTCTAACAGCCTGAGATTTAATGAATGAATAAATAATATAAGTAATAAGAAACTTATAACTAAGATATCAACTTTAAAATGCAATATCAACCCAGTCTTCTGTCAAATTTGTGGAAGATTTTCAGAACTGTTTTGAATGTTTTCTTCAAATAAGCTATAAAGCTTTGCTTTCTTGCTGGATGGTCGGAATTTATCATTATTTTGTCTAAGGATTAATTAAGAGCCCATTAGCTGGTTGTTTGAATAATTTGAAAGATTAGATTAATGGAAAAGGGTCAGGGCCTCAAATTGCTATATTAGTATTAATGTTAATATACATTTTTAGTTCGCCTGCTTTATCACCACCTTGTTTTCTTATACTTAATAAATAGTATCAATAAACCAATTAAGAGACTACTTCCAATAAGTCAGTTTCACTTGTTGAATTATTGGTATTTATAATTATCTCCTTTATTAGCATCACTTATTTGTTCTTGATTGGAAGTCCTAATGTAATAATCAATTAGAGCTTGTAAAGTTTGGATGGTTGGTATATTTGGTGTATTATTCATAATAATTGGAAAGCTCATTTCTGTAATTTGTTCAAAATTTCTGTTAACCATGAGCATTATTATATACTTATCTTTAATCTTACCAATAAATGAAATCATTAATAGAACAAATCTCGTGAATTTTAATGTAAATGTTTGAAATGATTGAATTGTTGTAACTGTTGTACCAAATTTACCTTTGCCTCCAAGGTTTATACTACATCATTAGGTCTATTCAAAAATACACTAGATATCATTTTAGATGGAATATCGAATGGCAAATGATGATAATTTGTTAGTAAAAACAACAGCACAAATTATTCCAAATAATACTTTATTAACAGCAGATCAAATTAGTTTTGCAGATGTAAAATTTCAACATTCTAGGTAATAATAATAAAATATTTCGGGCCAATCAACTTTTAGGCAATCTCACTCTAATAATCTCATGTTTCTGGATCTGATATTAATATTAACTGAAATGTTACAATTCAATATCCACCACAATTACCAATAATCACCATCAATACTGGTTATATCTCTACCACTGTTGATATTGATAGTAGCTTATTATTGACTGCCAATTTATCTAATGAGATCAGCTATACAACTGACCAGTTCTCTACTTCATTCCAATCAATTTTGAATTTCATTTATCAATTTATCTATGTATATGTTTTGTTACTAGACAAGAATTACCCTGAAAATCGCTGGTTTGGTTAATGGAGTATTAAGCAAAACCGATTTACCAATACCAATTTTAGGTATTAGTAAGGTATGAGCCAACAGGTTAATTTTGTTATATTTAGTAAAGTAATCATATTGATTAATCTTGGTACATTAAAACCCGCTTTAAAATACAAAGAAAATAATATTTATTATTACCATATCTACTTATATTTATTTATATTCATACTAACTAATCTCATGTGGTTTATTGTTTAGACTGCCATTGAAACTATGATAAATTCGATTCAAGAATAAAAAGGATTGTTGAGGCTCAATAGTATAGGATTTAGATATTCAATCAAGCACATCTATATCATTAAAAATACTATTGACACTTAATAATCCAATCAACATCATGGCTAATATTGGTCAAATAAGTCTTTTGAATGATGGGAAATTAGCAACCATTGGTGTGTCACTGATTCAATTGCTTCTTGATTAACATTGATTTGGTAATTGAACTTGCAACTGGTGCAGATGGAATGTCAAGTAATATAGAAACTAACATAAAATAATGAAGTGTATCTTTAACAATTTATACCAAAAATTAATAATTTCCATGTTCAACACCCTGTGTTATATTTGTTCAACAAGATCCGAGGTATAGACTACCAATCTCATTGTATTAACTAAGGGGTTGCACCAATGATTTTTGTGGAATATTTGCTACTAGTTGCCCCAGTGTTACGTCATTAACATATTCTTCCAGTCCAAGAGTGTTCAAGCTAATTCCACTTTTATATAAATTGCAGAATGATAAAGTTGTTCTTATATGATTTTTCGATTTGTCAAAATGCATGCATATTCTCTATTTAATTCATATTGACAAAGTCGATAAAGTTGACAAGGCATAATAAAGTAGTCCTCTGATGTATATAAACAATTTGAATTCCATGAACTTTAAAGATGACTTTTCTTGAAAAGTAATCAAACCATACACCCAAAGCTATTTACTACTAAATAAACTATTCAGTTCAATTCTCATAACCATTGCCATCAATTAAATTTAGTTTTGAATTGATGTTTATAATATGTAAAATTATTAATATAGTATTTCTTTATTGTATGTTTTTATTACATAGGCTTGGTTTTTCATTATACAATCTAATATATTATTTACTTTCAACTTTTCATTGACTTCATCAAATCAACATTTTACCTTCGATCATGAATTATCATCCATTATATAATATTGTATATATATGAGTGACATTTCCTATAAATAAATAAGGTGGCATGAAATGTAAGTATAAATGTAAATGTAAATATAAATATAAATATAAAAGAAATATATTTTAAATACATTTTTAAATTTTGTATGAATCACTTTATAATTATACCCTGAGTATATCTCTCATTGTTGTTTAAAAATCCTTCTTGTTTTTTAAATGCATCATAAAAAAATCAAAACATAACCTATTATATGATCTTTGTACTATTGGAAAAAGTTGAATATAAGTTGTAAGTTAATCAAATATATAAAATAAATACTTATTTCTTTAAAGTATAATAATAATGAGAATAGAGAATAAGTCTTTGCCTGCAAGTATAATAATGACTTATTAATAAAGGAAAATGTTATCATTCATATTTAAAAAAAAAATAAATAATAATAATAAATAATTGACACAATTCTGACATACAAGATAAGATCACAGAAGCCTTGAACTTTTACTTCTAAGGTAACCTATTGAAATCAAATTGATCAAAGTTAAAAAAAAAATCCATAAAATGGGTTTTGTGCGCAGTCACGCGACTTTTTTTCTATTCTAAATTCAATTGAAATAGCAAGTTTCACAATATAAAAAGATCGACGATCGAATTTTGTCACTATGCCACTTCCAAAATATGGATTTTCCTTTATTCATTCATTCGTACAGACATTAGATGTATCATTAAAGTATTAACTAGTTACTAAATATAAATATCCAATGTCATGAAACATCATGAATGTTCTAGTATTCTTAATTGCCATAAGCATTGAAAGATTCCAAGTATTACGAATATTTGAAACATTACGAATGTTTGAAAACTTGCATATGGAATGTCCACTAGCAAAAAGGAGGTCAGAGACTATTAAATTGTCTGTGTAATCATCAAAAGATATAAATATTTCAAGACTTGTACCAACTGTAATCCTTATGATATAGATATACACTCAATTTTATCAGGGGTCCTCAGACTCCCCATATTGGACATCCCATATGATTTCGAACATTAATATTAATATTAATATGATGTCCAAAAACTTTCGAACATTCGAACATGAACACTATGCCCATATATTATTAATATGAAAGAACAGGTAATTTTGTATTACAATTTTTTATTATGCAAAATTAATTTAAAACCCAAGTACAAGTCCTACGTGAAACAATGTATTCTTCTTTTGCCGATAGTAATAGGTCAATCATAATAATAAGGGATAATCAGAGTCCTCCTCGATATATATAATTAATTATCGCATAAATATTGGTTTTTTATATAAATATTAACTGTTGCCAAGCGTTCGTTAAATGTTTAGCATCCATTTTAATATGGTTTGTTTTTCCTCAGAATTAGGACAAAATCTGATTTCCCGGATAGAAGTTTTCAGAAGAAGGAATTGAAGAAGCTGCATCATTGTTTTTAAAATGATGGAGCTTAAGATGTAATTGAAACTTTTCTATATGCCATCTAGTAAAAGGGGAATATGATTTAAATTATTAGATGTTGGTTAGTTGAATCAGCTGTAACCCATGATCTAAGGGATAATCTTTTCCCAGTTATCCCATTGAACTTCGGTGATTTACTAGTGGCCAACATCAGTTTGTGAATTATTGAGTAAACTCATCCCAGAGTGCCTAATTCTTTTTACATTTGAAGAAGAATTTGGTTGTAAACATGAGTCGCAGCCAACTGAGTAAGACTACATATAATTTTTAAAAATTTTTTAATTATTTTAAATAAATAAGTAAAAATTGTTTTTTTGTCAAAAAAAAAAAAAATCTGTGTCATGACAACTAGTACTGGTAGTATTAATTTAATTTTTAGAATATAGAAATTTTTAATAAAAAATTCTGTTGCAAGTGTCACGCGAAAGTTGTAAAAAACCTATTTATTTATGCGTGATATTTTATCCACCTGTGACGTATTGCAATATACAACAACGGCTGGTACAGTATTAAGGACTTCGTAATCCTTTAGAGCAATGATTCTACGATTATTTTACAGTTATAATTACGCGATTTTAATTTCACGTAAATCGCGTATTAGCATTAAAGTTATTGAACTTTAAAATTTTTCCTTTCGCCCAAAAAATATTATTTTAAAGGAATAATTGATTTATTAATCTTTTAATAAACAATTTAAACGTTTTACGTCAGAATAGATTAAATTGTTTCAAGTTGAAATTATCCAAAACAATTTAAATTTTCATCCTTTGTGTGTTTGATGATGTATTGTTGTTCCCTATTTTTCAGAGAATTAAGTTACACGAAATGTTTAAATTTGTTTAATATTAAAAATATTTAAATATGTGGATGGAACTTGTAAAATTTTTTTATTATTTATTTTATTGAATTACAAATAAATTTAAAAAAATATATAATATAAAATTATTATTAATAATAAATTTCTTTTCTCTCCATTCCTTCAAATAATTACCTTACGTTTAATTTTATATAATCCTTTCTTCTTTCCCTCTTATTTTTTTTTAGTATTTAACCATTCTAACTGATTATTTTATTAATTTTTGAAAAATGCAAGCCATAAAATGTGTTGTTGTGGGTGATGGGTATGTGAAAAATGCATATTGTATATAATAAAGTCCATAAATTACACAATAAATTTATTACAGTGTTTTGATCTAGTTGTATAAATACATGTACACATATATATGTATATATGTATTAAAGAATATTATATTCAGAAAAAAAATCAATCACAAACATTTACTTATGACATTTTAATTAATTATTTATTTATTTAGTGCTGTTGGTAAGACCTGTCTTTTAATTAGTTATACTACTAATGCATTTCCTGGTGAATACATCCCCACCGTGTAAGTTTTAAATATTTATATTTATATTTATATTAATACTTATTTTTATTTTTTAAAAAATAAATCTTTAATTTTACTTTGTTTAAATAGGTTTGATAATTATTCTGCAAACGTGATGGTTGATGGTAAACCTATTAACCTTGGTCTTTGGGATACCGCTGGTCAAGAAGATTATGACCGATTGCGACCACTTTCATATCCTCAAACTGATGTCTTTTTGATTTGTTTCTCGTTGGTCAGTCCTTCTTCGTTTGAAAATGTTAGAAGCAAGGTAAGCACTAATGATAATGATGTTAATATATATTTTTTATAGAAACTTGACTAATTAATAATTAATACGAATAATTGATATCATGTTTTATTTTGTTTTATTTTTTAGTGGTATCCCGAAATTACTCACCATGCTCCAAATATTCCAATCATTCTAGTTGGTACAAAATTGGATCTTCGAGAAGACAAGGACACTATCAATAAATTACGTCAAAAATCTCAATTACCCATCTCATATCCTCAAGGACTTCAAATGGCAAAAGATATTGCAGCTGTTAGATATCTCGAGTGTTCTGCATTAACTCAAAAAGGTTTAAAGAATGTATTCGATGAAGCTATTCGTGCTGTTCTTTGCCCTGCTCCAATACAAAGACGCAAGAAAAATTGTATTATTTTATAATCTAAAAAGAAGAATCCAATCATAATCTAATAGCAAAAAACTCAATGTGAGTAAAAAAAATATTTATATATTTTTTTTCTCTCTAATAGAATGATTTATTACATTCCTTTTTTTCATGTATTAGGTTACATCTTATCATTATCATTATCATTAATTTATTTTGATTGGGTTTAACATAATAATTAATTGTAAAAAGTCATAATAATTTATTTATAAAGTTCATGTAAATTTAATATGCATTCAGTAGTGTATTATATATTTATTATGTAACTTCAAATCTCAAGTTGTTTTAAATTTTTTTTTTAAAAATACAATATTTTTTAACTTATTTTTATTTAACATAATAACATATAATACAAAGTATAATTTGTGGAATTTTAACGTATTTCCCTCTATATATATTAATATATATATATATATCCAAAAGAGAAGAAAAGAAATATTAAGCTAATTGTGTATATATAAGCGATAGTAATATAGTAAAATTAAAAAGCAACGAAACGACTCATCAACAAAAAAGTTTATATTTATGTTTGATTTTTGTTTGACCTTTATCTCCTTTGATGAAAATGGCACATAACCCGATTTACTCTCTTAATATCTCCAGCTCTATATTCTTTACCGATTGCAATAAGTTCAATAGAAACGAGGAATATTGATCAAAAGTCAATTTTGAGTTAATAACAGTGGTATGTGTAACTCATCAAGAAGAACATTTTTGGCTTAGAAACCATACCTACTGCATATCAAAATGAGTAATGATTAGACCCGAGCCCCGAAATTTTTTACAAATCAGAAAATTTTGGGATAATCAAAATTTTATTATATATTTTTTATATCAAGCAATAGAAAAACAAAGTACCATATATTAACAGTAGTTGTGGAAAAGTCTTGGTTTATTCATATTTGTATTGAAGGCATTATTATTAAAGCCCTCAAAAAAAAAATTTTTTTTTGAAAAGTATATACATTTTTATACCTTTTCATAACTTTATTATTATTAATTCTTGTTCAAGAATTAGTAAAATAAGATAATAATAAATAAATAAATAAATTTCTATGATCCAAAGTAAATTAGTAAAAATTTATAATAAATATACTTATATATTTTCTTCATTTTTATTGTGCATTATTAACTATAATGCCCAAGCCAAAATTATTATTGCTGCTGCTGCTGCTGCTGTTATTGTTGCTGCTGTTGTTGCTGTTGTTGTCGTTGCTGTTGTTGTTGTTTATATTCCAATCTCCATCTCCAGAAACATCACCCAAAGATGTATATACATCTTGTGGTTGTATTGGTGGAGTTAACAGTGATAATGAAGGCGATAGGGTTGAACTATCTACTATATTTTTAATATGATTTTCATTATTATTGTTGTTGTTTTGTTGCCATTGTGGTGGTTTAGCTGACTGTGGTGGTGTTGACAACATATTGTTATTTTCATCTTTTGATGTATTATTATTATTATTATTATTATTATTATTATTATTATTATTATTATTATAATGAAAATGTGGTGATTGCTGCAATGGTGTATTATATTGAGAAATTTGAGGTGATGGTTGTATTGATGAATAATATTGATAGTTTCCTTGTGAATTAATTTCTTCAGGTTCTTCAGATAGTGGATTATTATTACTCCTATCATCATCATTGCAATTTATTTGTTGATTTTGTTGTGGTTGAAATGCACAAAAATTGATTTTTTCATCACTTTTAAAGGTAAAATTGAATTGATCATCTGTGCTTTGCAAGTTTGAACCAAAGTAATCATACTTTGATGAGCCATAATGTCTTGATCCTCTTGGATAACTTAATGAGCCATGTCTTTTAGGCATAAAAGGTCCTCCTGACTGTTTCTTTACTACCATACTGTATTGCTTTCTCAAAATTTTATCATCATCACTAACAAATACTTCCCAGTCTCTAATTTCTACATCACCATTTCTCAATCCATTATGTGGATGTACAGTAATACCTAACCAATCACCAATCATTCTATCAGTTGACATTATTGAATTACTACCATCTTTTCTTCCTCGATCATACCCTCTGGAAATTATTTCAACTTGTGATTTGATAAATTGAAGCCTTTGAAGCATATCTGTTGATTTCTTGTCATTTTCATTATGTTTTGCATGCCAAGAAAATACACGCATTGACGGATCAATTGCAAATGGACCTGACATAGAAAAGGCAAAAAAATTTGGATGTTTTGATAATAAGATTTCCAACCAATGCACAATAATAGTTGCTGATTGAATGCAGATCACAGGTGAATTTGCCAAATATGATGAATTATGGTCATATGTTTCTGAATGTTTTAAATATCTACTATGAAGTTGTATAAGTGTTGTGTAGAAAAAAATATGTAAATCACCTAGTATTTTTGATTATTCATTTAAAACAAGAATTATTAATTTCCTTAGTTCTTGAGTAAATCATTTATTTATTTATTATTATTTAATATATAAAGTTTATATTAACCTCCAATTCCATTTAACAAAGTTCCATTTGGGTCTTTTGATATTTCTTCAAATTTCAGCCAATCAGGTAAACTGTGAAACCAGCTAGCAAGTGCAGCATCAAGAACTCTAAATTTATTTTCGTCTTCTTGTATCAAAAATTTCAATCTGGAGGCTGCATGCACATATTTACGTACTCTTGCACAAATCCGACTAAGATTTATCAAATGAATAAAGGCTATTCGAAGTTTTGTTTTTTCATCAAATAAATTTTGATCTTCGGGTGGTAAAACTGTCACATCAACATCACAATCTGTTTCGTCAATCATATTTGGTCGACCATACGTTGCCGAAATAAAGCTTTTAAATATCATAAAATTAGTATATTATTACCATCACTATCACTGTTATCACTATTAATACTATTATTATTATTTATAAACATAAATCAATTTACTTTTCAGATATAAATGTCACCCAGAATGCCTCATTTCTCAACATCTCAACATCCTTTTCCATTTTGATTTTTAAATTTTTTGGTTTACGATGTAAGCCAAGTTCAAATACCATTTTTGTTGCAATTCCATTATACATCCAACCAGCTCCTGGCTATACATATATATTTTGTTAGATAAAATAAAATCTTAATAAATGCTAGAACAAGGTTCAAACCTGCTTATTATAACGACCCATAAGAATAATAGCAATCACAGTGAGAACATGAGGTTGTGTACAATACTCATATAACAAAGCTATATATAAACATAAATATAAATATAAACATAAATATAAATATAAATATAAATATAATTTAAATTATTATATACATATATGTCAAAAAATACATTACCTTCAGCTCTTTCAAAGTAAATCCTCCCATCCCTCTTCTCGGGATCTTCTTGAAATGGTGATGCAGCAAAGAAAATGCAATTTAACAATAGCAAATGTTGTGATTTGGAAAGATCTCGAAGAGCATAGACTACCTTTTCTCGTAAAACAGGAAAGTAACGGTGAACATTCTGGAAAATATTTGATAATTTTTTAAAAGAAGTTTACTAAGTAATTGATTTATCAATCTATGAATTATAACTTGTTCAAAAAAGAATTTACTTTATAATATAAAGATATTAATTCCTCAACAGTCTGTGGGTCAGGGAGTATCTTTAATGAATCGTCAACCTCAGATAAACGTGCTTGTGTTTGAGGAATAATCATTTCTCCATTATAATCTTCATCAAGCATCAACAAAGAACCTTCACCGATATATCTGGTTGATTCGTAAAGATTTATGTTATTGATTGAAGAAATTAAATCTTCCATCATGTCATAACCAGGTTTGGATGATGTATTCTGATAAGCATCAATATTAGTAATGTTGCTATTTTTATTATCGCTGTTATTTTGATGCTGTTGAGATGATGGTGCCAATGGAGGCATTTGTTCAGGTGATATTTCCAAAAATTGTTCTTGGTGAGGTACCTGTTTAGTGAGTGCAGCAAAATCAGCACAATTTAGATAATATGTAGGATCGTACTAACGAAATAAAAAATAAAATTAATAAATCCATATAGCTATATGTTATGGCTGCCAATAATTTATTTGGTGTTGCAAATTCACGGTCATCGTTATCCCAGTAATTTAAAATTATTAATTATATAAAATAAATACAAACCAAACATTGTTCAGATACCCTAGGAATATTTGATGCAATTTCGCTAGAATGATAAAGAACCTCACTAGTGATCACCGATGTTCCATCCTATATTTATATATTATAAAAAAATCATAATAATAAAATTGTGTTAACGATATTAATAAAATAAGCAGCAGAAAAATAAAGATTAGAGATTAATTACTAACAATGCTAGAGAAATTTTGTCCATCATTTTGTTGCAATGGAATCGTTGGTGTAGACAACATTCCAACAATATTTTGGCCTTCGTTTATATCAACACCAAATCCTCTCGAGACCATGGATAAATAACCTGATTCTTCAAATAATGGGCCAAACTGCACTTTTTGTATGTCTTCTAAGCATGAATCTAAGTAACTTTTGTCATTTTGCGATTTCATGCCATTCTGTTTATCTCGCATCGATTTCGTTAACTGTGCATAATTGTAACTACATTTTCTATTTGTTCTTTTACAAGTACCACATTCTGGTCGTTCTTTGTCGCATTTGACCTTTCGAGATTTACAAATATCGCAAGTTGATACTAATTTTACTCTCTTGGGGTTTGTTAATCTAAGAAAATTTGTAGTCATTTTTTAAAATTAAAATAAAAAAAAAGAATATGGTAATTAATATTAATTCATTTATTTATAAATTTCTTTTATATCCGTTTTCTATTTTTTTGTGTTCTTGTAATACTTTATAGTTTTTTTTTGTATTTGTACTTTTTTAATTAGATAATCACTTTCCGAAAATTGATAATGTCGGTGAGTTTTATTAAACATTGATTAATTCATGAACCATTATCTTGAATGTTGTTTAAAAAAAAATTTCATTTTCATCAAATGACATTTTTCTCTCTAATGAAATTTCGACAGAGCCGTAACATTAATAAACTATCTACCGAGGCTAAAGAATTTATAAATTTTGTCAATAATTCACCTTCACCTTTTCACGCGGTTGAAGAAGCCCGTACAAGATTAGTTGGTGCTGGTTTTGAAGAAATTAAAGAATGTGATAGTTGGGAAGAAAAATTAAAACCAAATGGAAAATACTACTTTACAAGAAATAGAAGTACCATTGTTGCTTTTGCCATAGGTGGCCTTTATAAGGTTGGGAATGGTATTTCCATGGTTGGAGCTCATACTGATTCGCCTTGTTTAAAGGTATTTTGGAGAAAAAAATAATATTTGTTTGAGTTTTAATAATAAACACAAGAATAATTCAATCATATTAATTATATTAATTGTTAGCTTAAACCTGTTTCGAAAAAGGAAAAGGCAGGTTATTTACAAATTGGAGTTGAGACTTATGGTGGTGGTATTTGGTAATTTAACTGATCAATCAACTTGATATTAATTTTTTTTTTTAAAAAATGGAGATTTTATATTGAAATTTTGTATTTAAAATAGGCATACATGGTTTGATCGAGATTTAAGTGTAGCAGGTCGTGTAATGTTAGAAAATCCCAATGGAAAATTTGAGCATAGATTAGTGAAAATTAATAGGTAACAAAAGGTTAGATCTATTATAGTACTGCAGTTAAAACTTTATCAAATTTAATGATTTATAATTAAAATTACAATTAGACCCATTTTGCGGATACCAACATTAGCTATTCATCTTGACACTGAAGTTAATGAGTCTTTTAAATTTAACAAAGAAACGCATTTAACACCATTATTAGCGACAGTAACAAGAGCGTAAATTATGATTATTTATTAAGCACACAAATACATATTTCAGAATTTGTTTTAAATGCGAATCTAAGTTAGTTCATTTCATGTTAATACAGCCTGGAAAATCAAACGGTTGAAGAAGCTAATAAAAATTCTTCGAATAAACCAAAGCATCATCCTGGGTTACTAAGTGCCTTAGCTGAAGAGATTGGAATTCAAGGTTTTGTTTAATTTTCCTTATAGATGGGTTTGATTTACTTGATATTTGTGAATAATTATATTTACATCTAAAAAGATCCATCTAAGATACATGATTTTGAATTGTGTCTTTATGACACACAACCTTCTACTTTTGGTGGTCTATATCAGGAGTTTATTTTTTCTCCGCGCCTTGACAATTTGATGATGTCATTTACTGCTTTGAAAGTAGGCTCATTTATACTCTTTCTCTTTTTTTTTTTTTTTGCTTTTGTCTCTTTTTTAATAAAATTTAAAATAAATATTAGGCATTAATAAATAGTTCAAAAAATCCAGAAGAATCTTTATCTACAGATAATAATATTCGTTTAATTTCTTTGTTTGATAATGAGGAAATTGGCAGCATTAGTGCCCACGGTGCTAATTCTAGTCTTTTGGAGAACACTTTGAGAAGACTATCTTCAGCAAATATTGATTCGTCTGCTAATCCTTCCAGGGTATAATGTTTTTGAATTTTGAATTGATTGTTTTTATTTTAATTAGGGAAAAAAGAATTTATTACCAGTATTCTCTCCATTCTTCAGACTATTTTTGAAGAGTCAATGCATAAAAGTTTTATGATTAGTGCTGATATGTCCCATGGTAACATAATATGTTTTTCAAGTTGCTTTTTCCTATCAATTAAATTTTTTATTTCTCAGGTGTCTTAATATTATTATATATACCTTTCAATAAATAAGCTATTCATCCAAATTATAGGTATGTTTTAACCAATACTTGCTCTTGTATATGGATTTTTTTTATATTATCATACCTAACATCTCTTAAAAATTATATAACTGTAGTGAAAAACACGAGGAAAATCATAGACCAGAGATGAATAACGGTGTTGTCATCAAAATCAATGCTAATCAAGTAATTAAAATATTTAATTGGTTGCATTACATTAAAAAATCGGTTTATTTACAATGTTTCTATTTCATTATTAAAAGCGTTACGCTACTACTGCTGTAACTACACTTGTATTGCGCGAGGCTGCAAAAAAATATAAAGTTCCATTACAAGAATTTGTTGTCCGTGCAGATAGTCGTTGTGGATCTACTATTGGACCAATGATAAGTGCAAAATGTGGACTACGTACTATTGGTAAATAACATTAAACATTTTTTAAATAACAAGATAATTGTTTGATATTTATTATATCACGTATTTATATATCGTTAGATGTTGGAAACCCTCAATTAAGTATGCATTCTATTCGAGAAACTGCTGGAACAGATGATGTAGATCATGCAATTAACTTATTCCGGGTAATTAAATGATTTATTTAAGTTAGCCTATAATTAATTACTCTAATCGTGTGGGTATATATATTTAATTAATAGGGATTTTTTGAAGAATTTTCAAGGATTGATAAATCTATAGTTGTTGATTGAAATTGTTTAAATTGAAATTTTTTAATTTTTTGAATATTTGCTCTTGATAAATCAAATTTTTATAAATAAACAAATATTTCGCAATCAGTTAAAGCTATTGTTCAATTAACGAGATGACAATAGCACCAGTAACACCACCATCGTTACATACCTGACGTGTACCTGATACGTCTCCGGGCTTTTGTCCACTTTTGCATTCCATAATACAATTCATAATTGGATCTGCTGGTACAGATAAGTCATCTGTTTTCTTAAATCCAGGAATAATAATTACCCCTTGATTGCTCCAACTAGCGCAAAATATTGGTGGCAAAACCATTCATTATTAGGCAAACAAAATCACATTACAAAACCTTATCATGAAAAAATGAGAAGCTCGCTTTTGAAGATTGGAGACATCATTATTGATGAATTGTTCCTGTACATTAGCAACATGCTTGGATCACTTCATAAGAATTCAAGAATTGCACGGCTACTATCAGTTGATGATGGACAACCTATATTTCTTTAATGGCACTATCGGCATGATAACAAAGTAATGGATCATCAAAACCTTTCTGACCAGCAAAGATATCGCTAAGATAATTGTACAAAAAGAAATTGTATATCTTTGGAGCCCAGCATCAAGGTGTCAATTCCCTCTACAAAATCCCTTCGCACTTACGGCACACAATACCCAAGGGTTGACCATTGTCTCGTACAACAATTAGTGTTGACGAAAACATATTTGCGACAGGTCGACATGTGTATCCATGAACAGAGCACCTTCCCTTAAATTATTAAAATTTTATTTCTCAAGTATAAAAACGGATAACTTTACACAAGATCGAATGATATGTATCAAAAAGAGTTAAATGAGTGAAAAAATGTTAATAATTGGTTATAAG